CTGGTTAAAAGTAGAGTCAGTTGGTAACGTTTCTTTTTTATTTAAGAACACACGAGGTTCCTTGAACAAACTGTCATTATCTCCAGTAATGACAGTGTCATAGGAGCTTTTGAGAAAGAGGTGGAACACAGTCCCGACTGCATGGATGGACTGTGCTGTGTGTCCTTTCCTTGGTAGTTTTCTTTCACCAGCATTGCTAGAAACAGGACAGGAGTGAGAGGCGACAACTCTCCTGTCGCTGTGGAGTAGAGTACAGAAACAACTCAGTGGAAGAAATGAATTGTTAATGGAGCCAAGGAAGTCAAAGAACTGGGTTTGAACAAGAGGAAACATCTGCCAGCTGTTCCAGAGGAGCGGGGTGGGGCGGGGTGGGGCGGAGCAGGGTCAGCATATCCACCTACACTGTGACTAAGCTTGTGAAAAGAGAGCTGGTGAGTCTGAAGCTCTTCTCCCTGGATCAAAAAAGCAGAAGCTGTCCAATCTGCTATTCATACAGAAAGCGTGAAGACAGAAAAGGGAAAACGCACATGTGGGGTTAAGAACATCTGCCGCTACACATCACTTCAAGACAGCTGGGCCGTGTTTAAACCAGCTCACTGGTACTTGGTGGGAAAGATAGAGAGCAGCGAGGGTGGAGACCAAAGGGGTGAGACTAATTAGGTCATGCTCAGCCTCCCAACATATATCTTATTTTCTCAGTGCCGAGACCCCAAGTCTCATCACCAGGGGAACACTGTGATTAATGGCAGCAGCCATCAGTGTGACATGGAGATAAATTGCTCATAGTCTGGTACAGCTGGTGCCTAGAAAGAAAGCTACAGAGACCCAGAATAAGTCCTGTGACAAACAGTGAAGGAGACCGAGCTATTCCTCTACCGGTGTCTTGGGGATGGCCTCCCTTTTGTCTCTCTTTCATACATTCAAGATAGCTTGTTTCTCATTTTTAACGATGCAGCACTACCCACTTCCAAGAAAGCTTTCACGTGCAGGGTTTGGAGGGACCCTCCCCAGCTCTGCAGTATTCTCATGGCTGAATAGTCCTGACCATGAAGGGACTCTGTGACAAGATTTGCCATCTGCATTAGTTCATGTAATGCCCACAGATCTCCCCTGGGCCCTTAAAGCAGGTGATGTAATCTCTGTGGAAAAATTGGGAACATTGTGAATAATGAGGTTGGCTTGCTGAGACCACACATCTGGTCCTAACTCAAGCAGACTGGCTAGCTTCTTCCTCCTTCACAAGCCTCTTCAAACAGTGCTTGAGAGATTGGAGCATCTGGGGCACCGGCAGCTCCACCCACAGCCTGTCCCTGAGCTGGTAACTGCTCTGAGCCTCCAGCTCCGACCTCATCCCTTTGCCCAGACTCTATACCTCTTACCTGCTTTGTGTGCAGGGACGTCTTGCCTCTGACTGAATACATCCATTTTCTAGTTCCCCTGCTAAGCTGTGCCTGGCCCTGCAGCCTTTATTGAAGCAACTGTCCCTACCTCACTCCCAGGCCTCTGTTCTGTCTGCACCACAGGCACTAACTAGTCTCAGCTGTGTTTAGTGAGGCCGTTTTAAAATCAGGTCTTCTGAGAATGTCGGTGGCTTCTCTATACTAAAGAGAGTATTTACCTCATCTGTTTAGGATAAGATTCAGATGTTGCAGCGGCGTATGGGGCCTCACAGAATCTGGCCGTGCATCTCTAGCTTCACGGCCACACTCTTCCTTGTGGCATTTCTGACTGTAACTATAATAAACAAAGTGCTGTGCGGGCTGTTGCTTTTGCCTTTGGGCCTTTGTATAAGCTGTGCCTTTTCCTGAAGAACTCTTCACCTTTCAGCACCATGCCCTCTGGGAGCCTCCTAAGTGTTCTGGGTCTCTGTCGATGCCCTCAGTGGCCTGCTTGTCAAGGTGGAGCACTGTGACTCCCTTGTCTGTTGTGCCCCCAGATGCTTCTGGATTTCCCCTGTGGTTTCAGCAATGTAGCCCCCTACCAATATATCCAGGATTTTTTAAGTATAGTTTTAAGTATGGAGTCCTGCCCGGTGGTGGTGGCACAAACCTTTAATCCCAGCACTCGGGAGGCAGAGGCAGGTGGATCTCTGTTAGTTGGAGACCAGCATGGTCTACAAGAGCTAGTTCCAGGACAGCCCCCCACCCCAAAGCTACAGAGAAACCTTGTCTTGAAAAACCAAAAAAAAAAAAAAAAAAGTATGGAGTCCCCACTCATGCTCAGATAGCTATACTGTGTAAATATCGTAAGTTACCTATACTGGGCTGTTTTATTTTGATTAAGCCTGGTGGATTTTTGGCTGCTCTGTCTAAATGGCAGAAACATTTTCCATGTGTAACTCCTATGTGCCAAGCACTGAGCTAAGTGTTTCCTATGCATTTCTGTTCCTCTAAAAATGAATGTATGAAGTAGCCTCATGGCTGCTATAGTGTCCCTCATCAGATAGAACAATACACCCAGAGCAGAATAGTCCGCTCTGCATACCAGAAACAGCAATAGGATTAGATTCCATACCATTCATAGAGCGGAAGTCGGTTCTCATGAAAACCAGCTGTGGCGACCCTTATCCCGGTCATGTTTCAGAGGTGTCTTCACAGTAGGAATGTATGGGTTGAGCCCAGGCTCGGAGCTAGTGTGTCAGTAGCTGTAGACCGTGGGAAACCAAGCACCGTTTGTGAGAGCTAAGAAGAAAATGCCTGTGAAGTGGGAACCAGGGCAGTTGGGGCTCCTGCCAATCAGCAGGGCTTTTGCTGGGGAACTCTCTCTGATATTCCAAGTCCACTAGCTTGAACTTAAGGAAGGTTTGCTCAAGTTGAGGCTGGAGTTTCAGGAGAAAAAAAAATCTCGGAAGAAAAATGTAATACTGTATATGTTCATGCTCTTATGTGAAGTTGACTCTAGCTCACCTACTGATCATAGTCTGTACATTCCTGCACATCAGTGTGGGAGCTAGAGAAGCAGGGTCTTCAGAAGGACTGTTGGATGGGAAGGTACGTGAAGCTGTTCACAGTGTCAGTTACTCACTCTTTACCACCAGTCATGTTATTTCATGCCTGACTTCAAATGAAAAAACTGATAAATTTGCTCATTGTGGTTGTGGTGCCTTTTATCCCAGCCCGCAAGAGCCAAGGCAGAAAGGTTGTAAGTTCAAGGCCAGCCTGAGCTACATTGTGAGTTCTGGGCCAGCCTGGGCTGTAGGGTGAGGCCATCCCAAAACAAAATCATTTTAAAATTAAAAACAGGTAACGAGGTGTTATTTAGGGAATTAATTTGGTAGATTAAACATTTGAAAGCTTGGCACATAAAGACCATAATGGGAGAATGTTTTGAGCCAGTATCTTGTGTCTCAAATAAAGTAAAATATTTTTATTACACTACCACATCTTTTTCTACTCAGTTATTGTAACAAATTTGGTTTTTAATTGTTAACCCTGTGTATGTAGCTTATCCAACCAAGAGGAAGCTGCATTGGTAATAACGGTTTCTGTAAGGAGACTGTTAGTGGCCTTCCTTAACTTTACTGAAGTTATTGTGGTTGCCCATAGCTTTTATATTCATGCAGAATAGCAAGCAGGTAGCTAAAAGAATCTTGAAAGAAGTGATGGGTGGGTTCACTCAGATACATAGGACCTGAAATGGTGGGTGGTTCACTCAGATACACAGGACCTGAAATGGTGGGTGGTTCACCCAGACACACAGGACCTGAAATGGTGGGTGGTTCACCCAGTCACACAGGACCTGAACTTCTGTGGCTGAAAGGTTGCCCAGGCCTAGAATGCCCTGCAAAAAGACCCCAGCCCATTAAGTATGGACTTGGTTGCTGTTTTTGCTTAGCAGCTGTCACATGCTAAAGGCGTGATCCATCATCTCTTCCCATTTTGTTCTCAGCTGCTCCAGTAGATTCTCTTTGTCATTACCCTCCCTGAAAGGAGACTGACTCAGGAGGGCAGTTACTAGAGGTCTTTGCAGTTCCCATGTCCCGTCGTCGTGACAAGGGGACTCACTGGACAATACTGGGAAATTCAAGTTGGCAATTTAAAGTTTTACTTTAGGTCTTTACCACATTGTACATAACAAAGTTAGTTCTGGATGGATTGCAAACAACAACAAAGACTTTTGAACAACTGGCCGTTTGTCCATTTACTGAATTTCTAAAACTGCCTTTTGAACTTCAGTGCAGTCGAAGTCACAGTAACACAGAAGCTTATACAATGGCAATGTATAGATTAAGTTTTTGGATGTCAAAACAAAAATAAGTTGACAAGATAACATTTTTAAATCCCAGCAATACCCAGTGCCAGCAGGGAAAGCCATACTGGTTAGGACAGATAAACCAATGGAGAGCTTTAACCAGTGGATTTCAACCTGTGGGTCATGGCCCCTCTGAGGGTCCAGCAACCTTTCACAGGGGTCTCCTAAGACCACAGGAAAACAAATGTTAACGTTATGATTCACAACAGTAAAATTACAGTTATGAAGTGACAGAGACAATAATTTTATGGTTGGGAGTCACCACAGTCTAAGAAACTGTATTACAGGGTCACAGCCTTAGGAAAGCTGAGGACCACTGCAAACAGTGATAGAGGTCAGCAAAGGTGATGTCCTGGTGGGCAGGGTTCTGCCGCGATGTTTTTCTACTGGATGTTGAAACTGTAAGAAAAATGCTATTTCCATGGAAGTATTTCACAGTGCTTTTCATAAAACCAGAAATTAGGACAGCTCTGAAGTGTCCAGTGTGAGCAGGTGGTTAGTCGGATGCTGGCTGAGATGTTTGTCGTCATCTCTGTGGTCACAGAGTTCACTTGCCCATCTTCGCTTATGACAGTGATCATTGTATCTCCCATTTTGTTCATTTGTGGCTTTCCCATAGAAAAAAAGTGAGGTAGCTTAAGACTGACACGCTCTACAACCTGAGCAAATCATTTGCTACTGAAGATGAAGTGTTTTTGCTTTATGTGATAACAAAGTCTAAACATCCAGGCCCTGTGTTCTGCCCACAGGACGGATTTCCAGACTTCCAGGAACCTGTGCAAACACTCTTCCAGCAGGCCAGAGCCAAGAGCGAGGAGCTCGCAGCTCTCAGTTCACAGGTAACCTGCAGGGGGCACCTCGAAGAGATAGCTGTAGGCTGGAAGATAGGGGGCTGCTTCAGCCAGTTGCAGATTGAGGGTTTTGAGGTTCAAGTTTTTTTTTTTTTTTTTTTTTGAGACAGGGTTTCTCTGTGGCTTTGGAGGCTGTCCTGGAACTAGCTCTTGTAGACCAGGATGGTCTTGAACTCACAGAGATCCCCCTGCCTCTGCCTCCCAAGTGCTGGGATGAACGGCGTGCGCCACCACCGCCCGGCTGTTGCTGGTTATTGTTAAAATGTCTGCCCCACAGCCGTATTTGTAAGGTGACAATAACAACATGGTTTCATTTGATTCATGAGCAAATCTGGTAATACATTACTTACCTGTAGAAAATGAGACATTCTTTTAGTATTGGGGAAAAAGCAGCCATTCTCACTAGGGCTGTGTACAACACAGTTCTTAGGTAAAATAGCACAAGATCTCAGTAACATATTGTCAGCATTGTAACTCTTATCTCACTTAAAGCCTTCCTGAAGAATTGTTAAGTTAGTGTGTGGCTTGGATAGCTTTATTCATTGCTGTTTACATTTCTGGATGTGAGGGGTGCGTGATTGTGTGGGTGTGCAGGGGTGTGTGCACTCGTCTGTAGAGGCAGGAGGAAAACGGTGTGTGTCATTGCTCGGGAGCCATCCACCTTGGTTTTTGGAGACAGGAGATCTTGTTGGGCTTGATCATGTTTATACTGCTGCTAAGTCCCAGGGATCCACCTCTTTCTGCCTCCCCAGTGCTGGGATCACAGTGCATCTCCATGCCCAGCTCTTTGTGTGGGTGCAGGGGTTTGAATGTGGCTTCTCAGGCTCGTGCAGCCAGTACTACCCCAAAATTTTAGTAAACAATGTATGTGCTCAGAAATGGACATTTCCAAAGTCCATGTGTGAATGCAGGACAGACCTGTTTGTATTCATGTTTTGTATTGCCAAACCTGGTTACTGGGGAGAAGGAGAGTAAGGCTGCTTCCCTCTCGGAATGGCTGGCCGAAATGTCATTGGTTAATTGGTTGAAATTTCAAGTGAAATCAAGTTATTGTTACCTTTGCTTTGATTTGTGCACATTTAGAAAAGTAGTATGGGCATCCTTCCTAGTTATTTAATTCATTATCTGTTCCATCTATTGATTTTTAAAATTATGAATCATAACTTTTGTAACCAATTTTATATAGCAGAATTCTTATAGTACTTTTATGTAACATGGTAATGAATCATATCTGCATTTTGACTATTACTTCCTTGGCAAATGTCATAGATACACTGCTTTGAATATCACACACAAGTAATTTAGAACATCGAGTATAAAAGGAGCTTCTGAAATGCACACAGAGATGACTTTGGATGTCACACACCAGCCTTGTATTTTAAACATGTCCGTTTATGCTTGGTGGGGAAATGCTGCTTTTCTCTGGGGCGGAGGCAGAGATCCTTGCTGGCACGGATGCATCTCTGCATAATTTGCATTGTTTAATTTTGGTGGGAGGTGTGTTTGTCTTGTTCTTCTAGACAGCCGTTTTACACCTTTTCTCCTCCAAGCAGGCTGTCATCATAGCAAAGTCTGGGCAGCGCCAAATCCTAAAATAAGATTTCACCCTGTGTTCCAAGTAGTTGACAGCAGATGTTGCTGGTGCTCTTGGGATCTTTCTTTCCTTCCTTCCTTCCTTCCTTCCTTCCTTCCTTCCTTCCTTCCTAAGAAAGAAGGAAAATCCTTTAAAAGACCCAGGACCTTAAAACAAAGTGAAGGTTATGCTGTTTTAAGCTTACATGGGATTCTCTTTATGGGACTGAAAATAAACCTTCTGAACAAACTCAGTATCTCACATGACACAGGCATTTATTTATATTTATGGAGGCAAGCATGCCATAGGAAGTGTGAGCTCATTTTAATAAATACTAAATACATTTGCTGGAGTCTCAGATTAACATCTTTAAGCTATTAAGAAATCTAGACTGCTGTAGTTATTGGTTTTATTTTTGCTTTACTTTCTAGCAGGCCGAAAAGGGGATGGCGAAGCAGATGGAGCTCCTGTGTGCCCAGGCCAGCTATGAGAGGCTGCAGCAGGAGAGGAGACTGACAGCAGGGCTCTACAGGCAGACAGCCCAGACGGCCTGCCTTCTGATGGTTCAGATGGACAAGGTATGCCTCTGCAGTGACCTAGCCTCTAGAGCCAGCACCATGTACCTTTCAAAGAGAAATGAGGAGGACAGATTAAATTCAAATCAGTATTTTGAAGGGGTTATTTTACCACTGTGAAAATCCATTTTTAACTAGTTCCTTTCAAAGGAAAGTATCCATCCTGTATATTTTCATTTCTGAAATCCTAATTTTTATTATTCCCTCACTGTAGTTTGCACATATGTCTTGTAGAGGCTTGGTCAAGACGGAGATGTGAGCATATAGGCCTTTTCCAAGAAAACAGAGTCCATCAAAGACACTTCTTAGATTGAATCTGTTTCCTTGTTTTGCCAGGTATCGAACCCAGGACCTTGCATTGAGGTATACCCGTACCTTTTCAAAACAATCAAAACATCTTTCTTTAAATTTCAAAACCAATTTGTCCAAAACTTGTAACATTTGTTTCCTAAGAGGATGTGGTGGCTATTTCTAAGACACACGGAACACAAGTCCATGTTAGAAAGCTCAGTGAGTCATGAGTATTTTTACTGGGAAAACTCTTTTACTTTTGTCATGTCTTCAGCATGAAGAAAATCGCAAGTCATTGTTATCCACTTATTCAGAGGCTTTTTTTTTTTTTTGAAGTGTTTTCTATATGCTAGCGTGCCTCTAACCCCAGAAGGCATGGCAATTCAAAACCCATTCTTGCTCATATATAGCTTAGCTCCAAGTAGAGAGACATGCCACGAAACCTGCACTTTCAAATGTCACTAAACACTAAGGCCTTAAAGGGAAACGGTGTTTTCATATTGTCTTATTTTATGTACTATTCACTTTCTAGCAGGTGACTAGCACCGTTGGTGACTCCTCTTTCAAGTGTGAATCCATCTTTTTAAAAATGCTTTAATTTCATACAAAGTAACATTTTGGCATTTGATGCAGACTTTGTTCTTATGTGTCCTCCTCCCCCAGTACCTTCCTCCCTCCAACAGCCCTTCTCCTCCTCCCCTAAAGTCCCTTCTTCCCAGTTTATTGTCCCTTTCTGCTTTCAACACACACATATAGGTTCAACATACAAAAGGAAATGCGGTGTTTGTCTTTCTGAATTTGGCTTATTTCGCTTACCATAATATATGATGATTCCCATTCCATCTGCTTTCCTGCAAGTGTTATCATTTCACTTTTCTTTACGGCTGAATAAAACTCCCCTGTGCATCTGTGCCTCGTGTTCCGTATCGTTCATCTGCTGGTGGACATCTGGACCTGATTGATGTCTTAGCTGTTGTGAGCAGTGCAGCAATAAGCAAGTGTGTGCATATCTCGGTGGGATGCTTTCTGGAATCCTGCAGGCTTGTACACAGGAGTGGTATAGCTGGATTATATGGCGTTTCTGTCTTTAGCTTTTTAAGGTCCCTCCACGCTGGTTCCCAGTAATTTGGCAGCACCAATGCACACTCTCACCAGCACTGAGTAGGGATCTTCTTGCCCTGCATCCTCTCTGGCATTTGCTAGCATTTGTTTTCTCAATGGTAGCCATTCTTATGGGGGGGTGAAGCAGAATCTCAAAGCAGTTTAATTTGCTTTTACATGATAGCTGAGAATGTTGAGCAGATTTTCAAACATTTGGGGATCATGTGTATTTTTCTTTTTTTTATTCCATTAGTGCAGCTACTTGGAAGGTTAGAGGTTTTGGTGACTAACTTCTGCATTCCTTTATATGTCCTGGATCTTTATCCCTTGTATTGTGTGTATTGCCAAAGATTTTTTCCCCACCCAAATAAGAATAGCATGTTAGCAAGCATTCTCTAGCAGTGGAATGAAATATTGTCCTAGATCATGACACAAGAGTAAAAAAGATTTTCTTTCTAAAACATGACAAAAACATTTCAGTTGAGGTCTTTAGCTTCTCTGACCCTTCTTAGTAACTAAGAATTAACAGTTAAGCAAACACAATTATGAAAGATTTGATGGAGCTTAGCTTACGACCCTAGTGTAATTTACTGTGGGATGGCTGCTGTGATGGATAATATAACATCATTTAGAAAGCATTTTGCTGTGTCCGTACTAATTCTTTTTTCATGGATCATGCTTAAAAACAAAACAATAATTGGCCCGAAGCCATCGCTGCCTCTACTCGCAAATGTGTACTTAGGTAAGGGCACACTTAGTGCTGGTTACAATGCTAAGAAAAACGTTGTACAGAAGGGCTGTGTTAATTCAGTGCTGGAAGCATCTAGAAATGTCCATCTCTTGTTTGGTTCATCTTAGCTGTACATACCCCAGCGGTTTGTTCACTTGAGGTGCTAGCATTAGAGACTTCACTGGTAAGTTGTTATCTTAAATGCCTTTTCTCAGTTATTATACACGCTTCACTGCTTCTTGACCCTTCCGTTCTCAGAAGGTGTGTTCTGGCAATTTGTGAACATTTTTCTACAAAATCAAACAGAAAACAAACAAAAAATACTGGGAATGTTTTAAATGTTACTTTGTTTTTTGCTTCCCTCCCTCCCTTCCTCCTCCCTTCCATTAGGAGAAAGACCTTTGAATCTCCGAATGCCTAACGTACAGAACAGACAGCCCCATCATTTTGTGGCCGATGGGGAGCTAAGCAGACTTTACTCCAGTGAGGCGAAGTCCCACTCATCAGGTGAGAATGCAGAGAAAACCTGGGTAACATTCCTTCAGCTCTGCTCTCCCCTTCCTGTCCCCACTGAACAGTGTCATTTGTCATTCCCCCTTGGAAATTATAGATTACCAAAATATCAGCCAGCCTCTTTGAGAATGACAAGGAAGAGTAATGGAGGTTAAGACTCTTGGACTAGCCATTGCATGGATGGCAGCTTGCCTATATAATAAATGGCTCTGATGAGTTGGGCAGGCATTCCTTTTCTGACAACTACTGTGGTAGGACGCAGGTGTGCTCTGCGTCTGTTCTCGTGCTGAGGAAGCCATGTGCACCCGAACCTGACTTTTCATGCAGATGCATTTTAGGGTGAAGTTTTCTGGTATTAACTCAAGTGAAATGAATCTCACAGTGGTTAGTTGATGCCAGCACCACTCAGGAGAGTCTGGTATCATTCAGTCTTTGAATAAAAGTAACTTTAGGAATCACTTGACGGTAGTCACTGATTTTAGAGATGGGGAAGCAGAGACCAGACCACTGCATTTGTTTAAGTCGGGAGGAACGTGACTTTGCAGCTGACCGTGGATTGAGGATTACCTAGGAAGTTTGTCAAGAGAGTCTGTGTCTTTCTGTTCATGTTTCCAGGAGCAGATGCTAAAAAAATTGATGTGTGAAATTATGCCCTGTGCTTGTGACCTTTCTCGTCCACTGTTTCACATGGACTGTCAAAGAGGTTGACAAATGAAACTATCTTAAAATGATACCAATTTGGTCTCCTATTTTCATCAACATGAAAAAGCAAGCTCTTCTTTCAAGTTCTTAACAAACTAACATGCTTTCTACAAACTCATATTGCTTTAAAGACCCTACATAAAAGAAATACTGAAGTTACAGTGACCATATTTATCTTCCGTGGAGACACACTTGGTATCTCTGCTACATAGAGATTTAGTTAAACTGGGATTTTTACCTGGAACAGAACAAAGGAATATCTAAAGAAAAGCTTTTGCTTCTTTTTTTTTTATTCAATTTTAATTTTTAAACTTTTTTATTTTTTGAGAATCTGATACAATATATTTTGATCATACTTTCCCCTCCCACAATTTCTCCCAGATCCTCCCTGCCTCACTACTTACCCAACTTTATGTTCAAAAAGAAAACAAAAAAACAAAAGCCCACTTCCACCCCCACACACTCAGAGAACAAAAACCCCTTGGAGTCTGATTCATGTGTGGTTGATATGTACCAGTGTTAATCCATTGAAGAATATTTTCTTTAAAAAATGAGTAGAGATGGTACAGATTCCATGCAGTAAGACCAGGTGACCTGGAGTTTGTTCTCCTTGCTTCTCATGGGTTCATCTGTAAAGTAGATAACCCACGGGGTCATTTTAAGTCATAAACAAGAGAGTGTGAGCTGAACAGCTGCTAAAATGAAAGTATTGTGGCTGCTTTTCTTACTCCTGAGTACAATTTGAATCCCTTTCTGTATAGTGTGTGTGTGGGTGTGTGTATGTGTGTGTATGTGTGTGTATGTGTGTGTATGTGTGTGTATGTGTGTGTATGTGTGTGTATGTGTGTGTATGTGTGTGTGTGATGTATGTGTGTACATTTGCCCACATATTTGCATGTATATAATAAATATCTGTGTACATATCTCCAAGTATTAGTATATTATGTAAGGATTACATTTTACATTTAGTAGTCCATGTTGTTGAAATAATTATTAATAAAACACCATGGAACCTTTACTTGTGAAAGTAAAGTTTTCATTCTTTTTTTCCCACTTAAACCGGTTTAGAATGTCATGGAACTTTTAGACATAGTTTCATGTTTAAAATTGAAGGTGTATTTCAGTCACAATTTTATAGTAAGTATTTTAGCTATTAACATTTGTATGTGAACGACCTGTTTGATTTTCAGTACTTACCACAGTACACCAGCATTTTTAAAAAGGTCTGTTTATTCATGTACATTTCATGTTTACCCCTCATCCTACTCTGTAGATACTTTCCTCATTTAAAGGTAAGGACATGAAGGTTCGGCTGGTAACTCACTCACATTAATTTATTGCAACCAATTGATGTAGTTGGGGTTGAAATGTAGCCATGATTTGTTTTTGTTTTTGTTTTTGTTTGTTTTTCATGAGACGGGGTCTTGCTGTGTGGTCCTGGATAGCTAGGTACTCTCCATGTACCCCAGGCTGACCTGGAACTTGAACCAGTCTTCCTGTCTCAGCCTCCTAAGTCCTGGGAATACATCACTACCATGTTTATCCAAAACCCATGCTTTTAACCACAAGTCTGTAAATAAAGTCACATATGGAGTTTCACAATTATGAATAGTTAATACTATTTGCTGTGAAGTTGGGGGCTTAGTAACTTAGTAACTTAGTAACTGATTTCAAATACCAAACTCTTTCTGGTTTTGTCTTATGCAGAGACCCTCGGGATTTTAAAAGACTACCCTCACTCAGCTTTTACATTGGAAAAGAAAGTTATTAAAACAGAGCCTGAAGACTCAAGATAGCCTAGATTCTCCCACTGTCTCTGAAAATGGCGCCAGATTCAAGGATAATGCTCCATCATAGAATAAGCCTTAATAACCAGTGTTGCCTCATTCTGCTCAAACAGACCATAGCCAAAGCATAAGAACTCACAGTAGTCTGTGGAAACCAGGACAAAGCAACATCCACAGAAGAAGAAATCAAGAGTGTTGCAATGTAACAAACACTGACCATTAGCTTCCTGTGTAAGTTGTTTGTATGGAAAGGCTCAATATTATAGGCATTCACTATTTAAGAATGTACAATGTGTCTGTGTAATTTATAGAAGCAAATCTAGCTGTTAAGACCTTTTGGTCTAATAGATGTGGATACCATTCTTTTTACTTGAAATTTTGTTGTCTACTTTAAGTGTATTTACGGTAAATGTTACTCATCAACATTTAGGACTTTTGAGTCATAAAAAGAAAGCTTAAGCAATGTAGTTATTGGCAAGGTGACAGTGACTGTAGAGAGATGGAAGGCAAATACTCAGTTTACACCAAAAGACTGTGTACTTAATACTTGATTAAAATTGATTTTGGTTAATAGGAAATGTGTAGCCATCACTAAATAATGCCACTTTCATTGGTTTAATCCATGCATGAATTAAAAATTAGAGTAATATTTCCAATATGAGGTAGGCTACATTTAGGACAGCTGCTCAAGATGTAAGACAGAAGACTTGAAATAAACGTGCTAATGTGTAAAAGCCTTGACTTAAACATTGGGATTTCGGAGTATGTTAAGTAAATTAAGGCATAGTAAATTAACCCTAAATGTGATAAAGGTGGTGACACAGGAGAACTGACATGGCGTGTGTGTTTTGTTTTTAGTCCTGCTTTAAATCATGGCTGTAATAAATATTAGTTCCTAATCTGTTCTGTGGAAATCTGTTGACCAAATGTTAGATGAGATGTCCTCACCACAGTCTCTAATCACTGTCATGTGGTCACTTTTCCTTCTGACCTGTAGAAGAGTGTTACAGTAGAAACACCAGTAAACTTCTCTACCACTGAAAAGGCTTTTTTCCCTTCCTGAATGTTTCTACCGGACCATGGCGTTTGCCCACTGGAAGAAGTGTGTCATGGACCTTGACCTCTGCTGCTCTTGATGTTGACTACTGTGGTTTCACAGTCCGCTGTGTATAGAGCTAGTGTGATACCATTTGCATAGAACATTCAGTTTTTTGATTAGCCACAGCACTGGTTAATGTCCCCCTACTTTCATGAACTGTTTCCTGTATTCTGTAATCTATTTTGAGAAAATTTTGTGGTCCTTTTTTAAAAAATTGTGTCTTACAGTTCAAGTTTGTAGGTTTTAACATGCAAGTTTTAAAAGATGCAGTAATCTTGCCCCTTGTGTTTGTCTGTCACTCCCGGACCCAGAACCTGCATCTTTAAATCTAGAAGTAAGTTTCCTTAAGTAGCATACTATTCTGACTTTCAAGCTTAGAGATAAAGAAGAAGCACAAAAACAAATGTCAGTAGAATACAGTTTTTATTTTGTAAACACTAATGTATTAAACTTGCTATACATTAAAGCAAATAATATATATTTTTATTTGAATGGTGTATATAAATTGGATGTTATAACTAGTGTTTTTTTTTTTTCATTTTAAGATATTTTCACTGAACAAGGTCAATTGGTTACCTCAGTATTACAGCCAATATAATCCAAGGACCATTTCTCCCCAAGTCTGTGTTATTCTTTATTGTGTGGATTCTACATTCTTGTGATTCTTAAAACTGTTGATAAGATGAGTTGAGTGCACTTGCTTCCTGTGGCAATAAAGAATTCCTGTGCCTCATGGATCGGTGCTTAGAGCATTCCATAGCTGTGACACTTGTCCACTCTGCCTCCCTTACAGCATGTAAGGGGACAGGGTGACATGAGGGCTCAACACAGAGGCCTTGCCATGGACCAGGGGATAGCCCCAGCACTCCTTTTACATTTTTATTCTGGGACAGGATTATTAACTTGCCTGAGCTGACCTTGAATTCACTCTGTGGACCAGATAGGTTGTGGTCACCTTGGGAGGCCTTTGCTAGTGTGTGGTCCACACATTACACACTCCAAATATCTAAGTACTATTGGCACAGCACCATTTTGTTTGTGAGTTTGTTGCTGCTCTGAATCTTCAAAAGAAAGCCAAACAGGTTGTCACCACAGTGAGCAGGAGGCTGTATCTGTCTCTTGTAGGATATGAGGAAATATGGTAGCAAATATTTCATTAAAACCTACTTTTGGTCCAGAAGTGTGCAAGCACTGTTTCAGGGAATTCAACCCTGTTTACTTGCTGTTAACTGTGGGCATCCTCACAAGTGAGGTTCTCCAGTGGGCCTCAAGTTAACAAAGTGTCCTATTGAAAACACATATTAATCCCAGAAACCTTGATTTCCATAGTGACCCTAAAAACAAACTTGTGACACCTAAGTGATCAAAAGCTAGCACTGGTGGTAGCATTTTTTATTTCTGAATGTGTGATGGTTGATCTTCAAAACTTCCATGGCTCTGGTTCTACTGACTTACTAAGATGAAGAAAAGCAATCACTGTTTCTTACGCAGAAAATATACATCAGAGGTTTAAGTTCTTAATTTTTAAAGTTTTACATTTTGTTTACAGATGTTCTTCTGTCCGTTTAGCAAATTTTTACCATGGTTTTTGAAAGAATGACAAGTAAGAACTGGTTTATTATAAATTTGGTTTGTTGGAATTCCTTCCTTCCTTGATATGTTCACATCTATTAGGGCACATAATCCTTAGGCATTGCAATAGTGTCCTTTTGAATTCTGGTCCCCTAGAAGTCTGATTCTCTGGTCACAATTTCCATGATTGTGCTTTTGATAGCTCCACCTATGTCCAAGTCTCACCATAAAGACATTAAGGGCTCAGTTTCTGCCAGTTCGTCTTCAACCAAAGAAAGTGTTTAATACTAGTAGTAATTCAGTATGACCTTCAAAAAAGAAACATCTGAAATAATTCACAAAACGCTAATCTTAGGATTTCTCTCGGCATTCATGTGAAATGCTGGCTACTATTATTTTTCCTTTTCTAGTTTTAAAATATTTGATTGGGCCAGTGTAATGCCAGTCTTCAGTCAGTCCTTGCAGGTTGAGGGGGGATCACTGTGAGTTTGAGTTTGGCATACACAGGAAGACTGTCTCAAAAGGAAAAGCATTAATTAGTAAATAAAAATTATATATATTCAAGTGTATAAAAATGATCATCTAATTTTTTTTGAAAATGTGCTTATTGTGTGTACATATGTGAGTGTCACTTGGTGGAGTTGACTTTCCTCTTGGCACTGGATTGAACCCAGGTGGCTTGGCTTGTATGGCACCCTTCCCATGAGCCACCTCAACAGCCCTGCTCATTTAATTTTTGTGTATAGGGCATGCTGATTACCACCAACAAATCAAGACACCTTGGTGGGAAAGTGCCCCTGATTGTGTGTGCAACTGTCACTCACCATTTTTAGGCAGTTTCCTTGCCTTTGCTAAACTTTCACCAGGGTGCCTTTGCTATGTTTCACCAACATAGCTGCACAAAACAGTTTTACATTGATAGAAATTGAGAAAGACATAAATATAACTTTAGGCCCTAGAACTGTACCCATTTTTTTGTGGTCCTAGAGTTGAACCCAGAGCCTCTTGCATCGAAGGTCAACACTGTCACCAAGCTATCCTCTTAGCCTGTTTTCTAATCTTTATAATTGCCACCTATTTAAGTTGCTCATGTGAGCTCTGAAGAATCAACTTGCTTCTTCAGAACCCCACAGAAGTGTTCTTAGTGGATGCTGCCACCAGGGCTTGATGTTGCCATCAGGGCCTGATGCCGCTGTCAGGGCCTGATACTTCAAACTGCAGGCAAGTATGTAACATCAGTTCAAGATGGAAATGCCACAAGGCTAAAAAGGACCCAAGAGTCTTTCTTCTCCATCAACTTTAGAGTGTCAAATTTAGAAGTTTGCTGGTAGTCCAAACAGTTTTCTGCTCAGCCCACAGGGCTTGCTGTGGGTGGGAGCCCATGGCATTATAAATATGTGCTTCATATTTACACATTCTGAAACCTTATGAGTCATTTTGTATTAAGAGTTTTCACCTCATAAATTTATGTCTAAAGGGTCATGTTCAGCGCCCACACATCATCCTAGGCCATGCCCTTGTAACTGTCTTAGGCACTACCTTGCAGGTCACTTAGGCTTTAGTACGTAGGAAGATGCTAAGTAGTGCCTGTGTAGGTGGAGTCCTGCCAGGAACCGGCTCAGCAAAGGCAGCTGGTGATTTTCTGAGGCTGACTACTGTCGTCACCTGTTATCTGTGGTCTAGCACTGGGCCTACCTTTGTCCTCCCCAGACAAAGGGCTTTCTTTGTGAAGATGTCCTTACACATAAGTCTGCTGCGTCTCACCATCTTAGTTTTATTTCTCTCCAACATCCGTACCTTCTCCTCTCAGGTCCTGTCTCATACGGTGTGATTTTCCACCAACAGCTGATGCTGATAAGGCCATGCTTGCCCTTACAGCCAGTTTTCCTGTTGCCAAACACACCTGTGTATTCTCTGTACTGGTTTATCTCGTGTGTCTGTCTGTCTGTCTGTATGTATGTATACAGGTTCATCAGCTAACTCAAGTTCATTGATTTGAATGATAAAACATAAGTAGCAATATGATGACAGCAGGCTATCATAGGGACACTAAGTACTGAACTCCAGTTCTTGGGGTAGTCGATGGCAGATTCCATATAGAATTAACATAAAGGTAAAGTAAATGGAGATCACCTAGTTTTTCAAAGAACATCCTTATACTGCAATGTTTTAAATGGGAAAAGGGTTTCCTTCACTGAGACTAGACTTGTGTATGACAGTTTACAAGGAAAAAAGTCATGGTTTTTGTTTTTTGGTCCCATATTAAAAGACAAGACTAGTTCTGCCTAATGAGCCAGATGAACTAGAACATGTTAATCTTCTTGAACTAGTCCTAATTGCAACACTGGGATGTCACAAAGCCACAGTTTCCTGGCACAGGGCAAAGAGCTTTACATTTAATCTGCAATCTCTGTAGGTAAATTTTGTCACCCTAACTATGCAGATGAGAGGGCACACCCTTAAGATGTGGTGATAGTTGCTACACACCTGTGCTAGTCCATCACACTATAAACAGATATCCCTTAAACCCAGGAACATGAACACTGCCCAGTAAGCACGTTCTACAGCATAAATATTCACATATGAAGAAACACCAGACATGTATGGGATGATCATGTTGATAAGAGTATGAACAAGGTAACTAAGTGCCAAGATTTCCCCAGAGACTCCCTGAAGGAAACCAACACATCGAATGCCAAGGTTGGAAGCCAGAAGCAAAATGCACCAACTGCTTTGGAACGGAACCACCAAGGTGGGGTGTGAAACAGGCATAGGCACATACTCCTAGGATGAGGTGGAGAATCTAAGATTAGAGATGAAACAGCAAGGTCAATGCCGCTGAATCCAACCCCTAAAAACTATACAAGGATTTGTTTGAGAAACAATCAGAAGCATTTTAAGAAAGGAAGTGAAACGGTGCAAAAAGATTGGAAATACTCCCCAAATAATACAAACTGGATGCCTGAGTATTCCAAGAAGCTCCACAGGGTTTGACTGGGCCTCTGGTTGTGGTATGAGGTCTGAGGGTGCTGTTGGAGTTGTCCAACCTTAGCTCAAACTGAATGTACCGAGTAAGCAGTAAAAGATACACAGATGATAATTCATTCAGCAAACATCTGTTAAGACATTTGCCTAAAGATGTCTATGCACACACAGGGTCAGGAAGTAAAGACACAAGATCTTAAACTGTCCCTGCCTTCAGGGACACCTCCATCTTGTAGGAATTGACTTAAATGTCTAGCTTGTGACCATTGGATAGAAATAAACCATGGCTCCTCAACTTAGGAAACAGGCTTGCCAGAGGGAAATTTATGAAGGAGAGTTTGGTCCTCAATAATTTGCCTGGGATTATTCTGGCATTGTCAGTGTATGTGGGAAGAGCTACCCTGAAGGCATCAAGAAATAATGGAGCAGACTGGAAATAGGAGTGTTCACTTAGCATGAGTGAGGCCCTAGATCCAATTCCCAGCATTGGGGGTAGGAGATTGGAAAGGAAAAGACAAAGACAGTGTAAGATCTAAGCTAGAGTTAAGGAGTTGATCTGAGTTTGACCCCAG